TCAGGTAGGTACCTGTGAGGTTAGTTTTAGGGTCAGGTAGGTACCTGTGAGGTTAGTTTAGGGTTTATGGTCAGGGTTAAGGCCTCGACACACGGGAGGTGACGTCGCTCGCTCTCCATTCATTTCCTATGGAGCCTGTGTGGTGAGGCGACAATCGCTAGCCCTCCTTCAGCCAAGTGACCGGCGAATATAGTGCAAAATTTCGCGCTGGTACACGTAGACATGCACACATGAGCTTGCAACGCGACATATGAAAGTTTAAAAAATGTTCAACTTTTGTGCTGTTGCTTAACGTACAACCAATCATCGAGGGTTTCATTGACTGACCAATGAGAGGAGAGTATGCTACACACTGCAGTTAGCTAACACTTTCACCAAGTGATCACTAAAAAAGGCAGCTTTGTGGGAATTTGTTGGTGCCAGGGTGAAGTTATCCTCATAAAATTGTATCTTGGTGTGTGTTTGTTTTTCAATATCATTAGCATCGCAAGATTTGTTTAGTTTACACGTCCGTAATGCACGCCCCTTTTTTGTGAACCACCAATAACCTTTACAGTAGAAGAACCAATCAAATTTCGTAAAGACAAGTGAACTGAGAGCGTGATTCACAACGCTATAATCACTATTGTGTCCCGTGTGTCGGGTTTCACCCTGGCTGCGATGACTGCTGTTGATTGCTGTCGTTTGTTGCTCCCTGTGTGTCGCTCCCTTTAGGCTGTAGAAATGTAATGGAAGTCTATGGAATGTCCCCAMTTGGATAGCTGTGCAAACATGTGCGTGTGTGTGTGGGTGGTGGGGGGTGTAAGCCTGTGGGTATGAATGATGTGTGCATTAAGCTGTCTCTCTGCGTACAGGAGGATTGTGGAAACCCACACTGGTCCAGAGCCCAGATGTACGAGGCTCCGCCCACACATGGTTCTTCCTGCCAGATCTGCCTCATGGAGGTCAGGCTCACACACTCCGTGTTTCTCTGAAAACCATTTTCTTACTTAAGGCTGATGTTGTCCAGGAGCTACACCCAGCCTGGAGGAGGCCTGACATTTTTATTATTATTTTTAAGGAGTTGCAGTGTTTTGTTGTGCTCAGATTTCTGCTCACAGATCATTGGTGGAAACACACCATCCTGCTGGGAGCAGTGTGTGTGTGTGTGAGTGGTGCCAGTTTCATGCTCGGTCACTGTTTCCTTTTATGAATCTGTTTCCACGTTGATGATGTAGGTCCAGTGTGAAGGTGAGAGGTGTCTGCTGGTAGAACTACAGCCATAAATAAAAACAGCCCCTCTTATTCTCCTGACTCACTCTGAAAGTTTCTGGCTCCGTGTGACATTTGTGTAATGATGAGGGTTGTGAAAAGCATCTAGAAACCACTGTGATGAAAAGCAGCGAGGAAGGCTGCAGAATGTGCTTTAAAGCAAACACTTGTGAGTAAAAAAGCCTGACAATGTGTTCTGCATTAAAACCCTGTTCTGACTCCAGTTCCTTCTTGTTTTCACTGCAACACAACAGGCAGCAGTGGGACACACACTGACCTCATTCTAATCATTATTGGAGCGTTTGATGTGTTTGTGTGCTGTGTGCAGACTCACCATGCAGTAGGCCACCAGGGCTCCCTGCACAAAGCCTGCCAGGACGTCAGTGGGGTGGTGCTTGTGGTCGGAGACGCGGGACAAACCGGTGTAGAAGGCCATCATCAGCAAGGTGAACTGCAGCAGTGGGCGGAGCAGACGAGCCCCGCGCCAGGTAAACCTGGACTGGATGTAAAACTGTCAAACAAAATGAAGAAAAGCTAAGTTTGATTCAGTTCAACTCAGACTCACCTGACTTTAATTAAACATTAAACCTTAAAGAGATGTTTTACAGTGGGATTAGATGTAAAGGTTGTGGTGAAGAACAGTTTACATCCAATAAACCAATGGCTGGCCAAGAACTAAATTACTCTGACGGGGGTCAAATCCAATGGTTTCTGCTGAAATGACTGTTTAATGCAAACCTGTTGGAGATGTAAAGGCTTAAATAATGTTTGCATTAAACACTGTAAAATGTTGATATTGAATTAGTTTTAATGGAGCAAACAGGTCTGTTCAGACGAGTCATTATTAGTTCCTCAGCATCTTTAGTTATTAGTTCCTCGGCATCATTAGTCCTTCATACATACAGTATCTTTAAATCCATACAGTCAATATTAATTCACTTWAAAACAAACCATTAACAGTTCATTATTACACTAATTATTAGTTTTATTATTATTTTGGGAAAAACTAAATACCAAAAAGCACATGTACACATGTACACAAGTACATACATACACATGTACACATGTACGCATATACACACTTACACATGTACACAAGTACACATTTACACATGTACACATATACACACTTACAAATGTACACAAGTACACATTTACACATGTACACATATACACACTTACACATGTACACAAGTACACATGTACACATATACACACTTACACATGTACACAAGTACACATTTACACATGTACACATATACACACTTACACATGTACACAAGTACACATGTACACATATACACACTTACACATGTACACAAGTACACATTTACACATGTACACATATACACACTTACACATGTACACAAGTACACATTTACACATGTACACATATACACACTTACACATGTACACAAGTACACATTTACACATGTACACATATACACACTTACACATGTACACAAGTACACATTTACACATGTACACATATACACACTTACACATGTACACAAGTACACATTTACACATGTACACATATACACACTTACACATGTACACAA